TTTGTTTAAAGAGATGATAATCTGGTGATTGTTGGTGTGACGAAAGTAAGAATTGGGAAAGATGATGAATTTGGATGATAATGTTGGAAAATAGGATTATTGTAATTGGATATTAATGGAATAACACGGATACAACAACACGAATAAACTAATTTATTCAAACATGTACAAACACATGATAGATCATACAATTTACGATTATCTAGGTTTATAGGCCTACAGTTAACATGATTAAAAAAAAAAAAAAAAAAAAAGCTTTTCAAGTACGGTGCTTTTACAATATGAAATGTTATTATAAAGGTTTAAAAGTTTTCGCAAACACTTATCAAGATTATAGGGAATCAAAAATTGAGGTAATTTTGTCAACTTTAATCACCTCTAAGGATTATACTTCTGAAAAAAAATGGAACATAATGGCTTACATCATCTAAACCGTTTAATCAAATTAATATTTGATTTCCACGAAGATTTACGTCACATCAAGACAGGAACTTCCACTGATATGTACCCGTATGTCTATGCATTTTTCAACATACCTTGATCAACATGGTTTTTTCCAATACTCTAGTTCTGTCACCAGAGAGCATTGTTTGTTTTTCATTTCTAAACTGCAATAAGAATATTAATAATTGCAAAAGTTTATGTTACAACCGACTGCAAAATAGTGCTTAGCAGAGGTTGATTGGTTCATCGGTTAAGTACTTGTGCGTGCGTGTGTGTGTGTGGGGGGGGGGTTAACTTTGACTTCATTCAGCCTGTCTGTTAGAAATCTCTCTCTTTCCCTAGCTACACTTGTACTTTTGGAATTCGGGGCTGCAGGCAGCGCCGCCTCGCTGCGTCCTGAGTGTTGGCTATTGTTCCGTCAATCGCTGATTGGCAGAACAAGTCCAAGACTTGTTCGTTCTCTGCCGCGGCGTCCCTCTCGTCTTCAGAATTTGGTGACCTTGTTGAGGTTCACCATGTCACATGACTCGGTCGGTCCATCTGGGGGCTGAAGTTGGCGCTGGGTGTTTGGAGGAAGCGGCTGCTCCCCGCGCCGCAGGAGGCGCCAGGCCGCAGCGCGGTAGTCCCGACGCAGGAGGAAGTAGATGAAGGGGTTGATGGCGGAGGCCACGTACTGGCAGAGCGTCGCCGCGAGGTTCACGGGCCCCGGGACGCTGCCCTCGTCCATCGTCCACATCTTGATGAGCTTCGTGACGGAGAAGGGCGTCAGGAACACGAAGAAGGCCATGATGACGACTAACATGCTCCTGACGATCACGTGATGGAGAGACGAGCGGTTGGCCCTCTTCTCGGGGCGCCCGGCCTTCGCCCCGGGCTGGCCGCTCTCCTGCGCGGCCAGCGGGTGCGGCAGGACCCTCGCCCGGGACGACACGTAGCTGACCCAGATGATGGTGGTGTTGGTGATGAGGATGAAGACGGCCGGCACGGAGAAGCACACGACGAAGGCGACCAGCACGTAGATGAGGGCCTCGCTGTACGTGAACCAGTCGATGGCGCACACGGCCTCCCACCGGTCGTAGCGCACCCAGCGGAAGACGATGGGCACGACCGCGAACACGACGCCCTCGGCGCACACCAGCGCCTCCAGGCGGGCCAGCAGACGGCGCGACATCCGGGTGCGGTGGATGGCCGGCTGCGTCACCGCCAGGAACCGCTCGCCGGAGATCAGCGCCATCGTCATCATGGACACGATGATGCACAGGTAGTTCATGGCGCAGTGGAGGTCGCATCGGGCCGGCAGGGGCCAGCGTCGGACAGGAGGGCCCACGCGGACGGCACCATGACCAGCAGGCACGTGGTGAGGTCCGTGATGGCCAGGCTCACCACCAGCAGGTTCGAGACGGTGGCCTGCAGCTTGACGCACGTCAGGTACACGACGATGACCAGCGCGTTGCCGCAGACGCCCACCAGAGCCACCACGCCCACAAGCACCGTGCAGGCCAGCCCCACGCCCCACGAACGCTCGACGGCCGCCCAACCGCCCTCCGTCAGCCTCAGAGGACCCTCAGTCGCGTTGACAGCCGCCTCCGTCGCGTTCCACAGCGCCTCCGCCATGAGCCAGTCCGCTGCCGCCGAAGGGTCCTCCGCGGCAGGGGGCGGGGCGTCCGACAGGGACTGCATGTCACGGGGGCATCGCCAGGGCGCCGTCACACCTGGAGGAGGTTGGCACAAATGAGTCAGAATCTCTTTTTATCATTCCTCATCTTCTGATAGATCTACCTCTTTACTTTTCTATCAGACACACACACACACACACACACACACACACACACACACACACACACACACACACACACACACACACACACCACACACACACATATATATATATATTATATATATATATATATAATATATATATATATATAATACATATAAACATGCATATGTATGTATGTATATATGTGTGTGTGTGTATATAGACAGAATAGATGTATAGATAGATACACACACACAAACGCACACACACACACACACACACACACACACACACACA